GTAGTGCTTACTTCTGTCAAAGAAATGGTTATAACTCTAGAAAATTGAACAATTTTCTAGTACTTTAGAAAAATGGACAATTACTTTATTATAGATAGTATATAAAATGAAAATTCACAAATTCATTCACTCAAAAGAAGTAACAGAACTCACAAAAGTTTTCAATTTCTAATTCTGATAACATGTTTCTATTAGAATATGCAGAGAAAACTGTAATAAAAGGGGGAGAGAAGTCTTCAGGAAGACAGTAATACTCCTTACAGAAACATGGTTAAAAAGAATATAACAGGTTCCATGGATTTCCCCTCCTCATTTTTCACAAGCTTTTCTTTCATATATTTCTTTTTGCTAGAACCAATGAATAACTGCCACTTATCACAAAATATCTCCTTTCTGATATATACTTTATATACTGCTTTTTTCTGGACAGGCAATTCAAGTTGCTGAAGTCTTTTAGCTGCAGCAATTTTTCTTATTACTATTGCACTACATTTCTTCCATGGAATATCATGAATTTAATAAACTTCTTTACTTTCCAGAAACAGTCTCCAAAACATAATATTGCTGTATCAACATCAATATTTTAGCATTATCTAAAAGTTTATCTCATTTAATCCTATAATCTTTCCATATTTTAGTAATTCCCAACACTATTACTTATTTTGTCAGAATTCTCATTTACTATTTCCCCCTATGTTATGCTAATATAGAAAACTGTATCTTCTCATGAATAGTTGCTTGAGTTAGTCTATAAGGAGTCTTGTTTTATATGTCCCAAAACTAATGCAGATTTTATCTTGTCTTTTCAATCAACTACTGAATTAATTCTATTACCTGTCAAAATTTAAATTACTGATTTTAGAAACTCAGATTGATAAGTTTTAGAAGTCTGTAGGTGGCTGAGCTCTGGGGTCCCAGAAGTTACGAGCTGTGCCGTCAACCCAAGAGCACAAGGTTGGAATTCACCAGTTGCTCCTCAGGAGAAGAATGAGCAATCTTGTTCCCGAGTGATTTACTGCCTCTGAAAACCTGCTTGAGAATCAGCTATGAATGGGTTCTCACTTGATGGCCCATAACAACAGCATAGAAGGCTGCTGTTCTGTATCACTGATCCAGAACTGACTCATAGTTGATATTCCAGCAGGTTTTTAGAAGCTGTAAAATGCAAAAAAAGAGACTACTCATCCTTTTCCTTTGTAGCTGCTGGTGGATTCAAACCATGTTATCTTTGAATTGGCAGAGCAACTTCTTGCCACTAAGACATCAGAGCTCCCCAACAAAAAGCTCTTTTTGTTGAGATGGCCCTAGCTGACCCTCTAGTGGGCAAGCAGCTGGCACATTTGAACTACATGTGTCTGGGATTGCAGCGCAGGTTCTTACTACTAGGCCACCAGAGCTCCCTCATAGAAAGTTTGAATATGTATCTCCCTACTCTTCATTCTAACCTTTTCTAATAAACTCTAAACCAAATGGCTTTTTAAAAGCTACAATTAAAGTAATTGCAAATTCTGAAGGCAGATTAAGGAATAGTTCCAAAGGGAAAAAACAGAGGCTTTAGAGTTCTAAAAAAATTTTGAAAGTACAATCATAAATTCATTCAATAGAATTTATTCTATAATTAATAAAATTGTTGAGATCTCACAAAGCAAGCTCCAAATACATAGATTCCTTCAGCACACATATAACACCAAGAACAGGATGTCCTTAGATTCCAACTGTCTAATTTACAGACAACTTCTACTTGCCCTTTTAATTGGTTCTACCATAGCTGATTAAGTGAAACAGGAAGAAACCCCAAGTTTTACAATTTGGCAGATTTGGCACTATATTCAGAACAGGAAAAACTACTGTTGAAGGCCTAGAATGAAAGACTTGGAAGAGGTGTGCAGTGAACCATTCCAGGAGCCAGCTGTGTAAGATTGAATTACTGGCAGCATTGTAGGAGACAGGCATGTAAAAAATCATGGTTGGCCACCACCTTTGAGTGAAGGAGCACTGCTTCCTACAATATCCAAAACTGAGAGCATGAGATTTGGTTGTTAGAAAACAAGCACAATTTCCTTTTATAAGAGGAAGAGAAACTTTCCAGCAAGGATTCAATTCCTAATTTTTCTCATCCTGGCTACCTTTCTGGTTTACTTGAAAAATCTGGGTCTAGTCTACGGATGCTTTCTAGGCCTTCACTGAACTAGGCAACAGTTTGATGACCTGACAAAGACACAATGAGGAACAGATCTTTTCCAAAACTGCCTGTACATCCACTCCTCATTGATCAACAATGTTATTTTCTGATATTTTGCACTTCAATAGCAAAACAATCTACTGTTCAATTATTTCATGCATTAAATAGATAAGCTTTATGTCTTCAGTAACAAATGCTCATTAACAAACAGGAGGGAAGTTTCAAAGTCGAAAGATGAGACAAGAGTAAGTAATAAAGACTAAGAGAGTTAGGCTATATCAACTTGCCTGGACTCACTGGATTCTCACTGGTTTGGCAGTTATGACAATACAATTTTGCAGTTATACATAATGACATACCGTTGATATACGCTACTTTGGTTCTAGACCACTAGACCACAGCAATAAAGAGAAAATTGCTACAAAACAAGTCAGGTGAACAAATTCATGTGGTTTAGTGATAAGGAGTTGTACTGCCAACTCAAAGGCACATGGTTTGAATCTGCCAGCTGCTCTGTGGGAGAAAGATGGCCATCTCCTCCAGTGCAATTACTGCCTCTGAAAACCTGCTGGAGGGTCTCCTATGAGTCAGTTCCGACTCAAGGATACATAACAATAATGGTGCATGTAAACACTCACTGAATAGCCAATCATCCATGGGTTTCCAAGGCTGAGAAGAGAATGCTCACCTTTCTCCCACAGCTGCTGGTGAATTTGAATGGCAGGTGATATACTTGGTCTTTCTGGTTAGCAGCACATGCTATGGCCTAAACCACCAGAGCTCCCTGAGGCATATAAAAACTATACTTACGCTATACTGTCACATGGGCAGGAGTTCAGAGTCTGTCCCCTGACTGCCTGGAAGAATGTGTGCAGGAAGGGAATCAAATAACACCAGAGGGTCTGGGGGAAGCCCAATCCATAGAATGGAAACCTGGTTGTGTAGTATGTAATATAACAGGCTGCAGATCTAAAAGGCAGCAATTTAAATTTCTGAGTTCACATTCACTAGTCATTTCACTGGTGGTTGTCTTCTCCAATAAAGACTGAAAACTCAGAAACCTGATGTAAGGTCTATATGCGTAAGAATCAACTCGATGATTGTGGTAAGGTCTATATGCGTAAGAATCAACTCGATGATTGTGGGTTGATTAAATACGTGATCCTCATTCTCATTGCTGTTAAGTGGGACCTGAGTCAGAGATGACCCTTCATAGAGTTTTTTGGAGGCTGTAAATTGCACAGGAGAAGATTGCCCATCATTCTCTCCTGGAGAGGCTGGTGGACTTGAGTCAACAGAGGAGCTGCCTCTGGACTAGCAGCGTGACTCTATAAGGACAACTGGGGCATTCAGGTATGTGACAGCATTACCAAAAAACTCTGAAATACTATGAGATTTACCAAAATGTGATAAACACATGAAATGGGCACAAGCTGCTGGAAAAATGGTGTAGACTAAATCCACACGGGGTTGTCACAAATCTTGTATTTGTGAAAAACACAATTATCTGCTAAGTGCAATAAAATAAGGTTTGCCTGATTGTACTCCATTTTCACTAATGCTGATGAAGATGACAAAAGTATATCGAGACCCTTGAAGACAGAAGCTAAAAAATGAAAATTGGTGCATGTTTACTACCACTTTTTATGTTACACACACACACACACACACACACACACATCACTTGAGGCGTAGTGGTAAGACTTTGTGCTAACCCAAAGGCACAAAGTTCAAAACCAGCAGCTGGAGAAAAAGTGGTTACTTGGCTCCCATGTGATTTACTGCCTCTGAAAACCAGCCAGAGGACCAGCTATGAATTGGTTCCAAACCAACAGTATAAAAAAACCAACAAAAAGTCACGACTATAAGAAAAATAGCAAGTTTTTTTCTTATTAATCTATTCCTTTTTGGGCCCACTCACTTTTTTTCATTCCTTAAATTCTGAGCTGAGTCTTGTGACCATCATACCATGCACCATTTTTAAATTAGTGAGTTATTATTAGTGATTCATCAAGTTACAAAAAGGGAAATAACACTTTCATAAATACAACACATAAGTTAAACGTAACAATTCTTCATGGCGGAGGAAATACTTGTCAGGCCTACAATAAAACCTGTAGCTCAAAAAGATACCAACTATGCAAGCTAACATAAAGTCAAGTATTTGATGACTTCAATTTGTCACTTTCCTTCTAGTAAAAATGTTTCGAAATTTACGGAATATATTCAATTCTCCAACTGTACCCCATTCTCCTTATAAAAGCAGTTACAAAGTTACATGCTTGAGGCCTGTTAGAGAAGATACCACACTCTCTCTTTTACTCATTTAAGGTCGGACTTGAGTCTGGGGACTGGGGTCCACAAGTCACAAGACGTGTGGAGAACTTTTAACAAAGGGTTTCCTATTACTTGAAGTAAGAATGCATTAAGAATATTTCGTTAGGAAGGTGGAAATAAAACCCATAAATTATAACTGGAGTGAGTGATTGGCACGACTTGGTGACATAACCTAACTTTTATATATGAAACACAATCTCAAAGCTGTAAGACGCAGTCTGTACAAACAGCACCACCCATTCAAGCCCTCACCCATACTGAAGTGGGTCGGACACCCCCAAACTATTAGCCTAACCTGACAGGAAGTGAGTTTCCCCTTTCTCCCATGACAGTTTTCCTCCCTCCCCCCACCGGAAGTGAAGCGCCCCCATTCAGTGAGCCTAAAATCGAGGCAAAACAATAACAACGACGGTAGTAGAGGGATGATTTTCAAGGGTTGAAGGACACCTCGACTAAAGCCAAGTTCGCCCTGCTTACTGACCTGCTGGCGACAGGCGCAGGCAGAGGCTTGAGGTCTAAAGACAGTCTTTCGCTCAGAGGACAATTCCCTCAGCCCCTCTCAAACGCCTTCATTCTTCGCACGCCGTCATCTCACAGCTTGGCAAAGATTCCTCCGCAGCACTTTATACGGTGCCGTTTATCTTCCCTTTGCCTAATCGCTTAATCACCTTTTCATAGGTAACTTCTCTTATCACAGTAACAATTATAATTGTTCCTGTGCGGAGAAAATGGACTTATTTTTGATACCTGCAGACAAATGAAGGGATTATTTTGTTCAAATGCGGCGAAGGACTACGTGAGTACGCAAGGTGAGACTGACTGCACCGAGGTTTCTGGGAGATGTAGTTTTGTTTTTATCGCTAAGACTAGCCGAAAGTAATAGGATTTAGATTGGTTTTTACTACACATTGGAGTCCTTGAAAAGACATATTATGTATTCAGCAGCATACAGACAGCGATGATTCCAGCTCTCCTTTACCTATGATATTTTGCCTTCCTTTACCTATGAAGCTCAATTGAATTTAAAGTTCCCCTCACACACATCTGAGGTCCCGGTCACCCCGCCCACTTGGTCCCAGTCACGCCCCCTTGAGCCAATCAGACGCCCTCCAAGTCTCTTCCTCTAGAGGTGGGAACCTGGAGGGGCGGGGACTCGCGGAGACTCCTCCCACGGGGTTGAAGGCGAGACACGGGGCGAGAGAGGCCGAGGCTTGGACGCGCGCGCGTGCTCGCTCCCGGGCTGAGCTTGAGGAGCGCGGCGGGCGAGGCTGGAAAGAGGTTGGCAAGCGAGTGGGCTGGGCGGGAGGCAAGCGGCCGAGAGCGCGCGGTGGACTCGGCGGCGGCGGCGAGTAGTTAGTTAGTTGTTGTTAGTCAGTGTCAGTTGCTCGGGGGCAGCGGTCACAGTCATCAGGGAGGAGACGGGACGGCTGGCAATGGTGGTCCCCGCGGCGGCGTGTGTGCCCCTCAGGTAACGGGGGTCGGGGTGCCCGCGTCCTCTCCTTTCCCCTCTTCTCACGCGCCGGCTTGTGGGACCCGAGTATCCGCTGGATGAAGGCGCTGACCCGGGGGGAATCCAAGCGGGGCGGCGGGGGCTTTGAGTGGCGCCGCCGCGGGGGCTTGATTGGCCGGTGCGTCCAGCCCGGCGCGGGCTCTCCAGCTCCGGTTACCCTCGCACCCCGGCGGCTTTGCTGGCCCGGCCGCTGGGGGCCCGGCGGCGCCGCGCGCCCCCTCGCGCCCCTTCCTTACCTCCTCTCTCGGCGGCGGCCCCAGTAGTGCGGCGCCCCCCAGAGGAGGGAAAGTTGGGACCTGGCGGCGAGGGACGCCCCCGGGCGCGGTTGGGAAGCTGCTGGGGAAAGTGAAGCTTGGAGAAGCTGGACGCGGGGGAGGCTGGGGCAGGAAGGGTTTCTCCTCTCTGGTTAAGTCTACACGGTCATCCTACTCCCAAACCCGCGAGGATCCAGGGCGACCTCGCCAGCAGCCTTAGGACAAAACCTGCTGGCTGGCTGCGTGCTCACTTCGCTCTGCGGCTGGTGAGCCCTCTGGCATGCTGGCTTACTCGGTGGTTTGGGGTGTTTTTGGTTTTTTTTTTTAGTAGTTCGCTCGGCTAGTTTGTATCTCCTTTGCTCTTTGATTCACTCGTTCTTAAAACTTTTCTTTAACCTCTTCGTCAGTGAGGACTTAATGTCCAAAATTCCCCCTTCGCATGCACCAGCATTCATCTGAGAGCTTGATTTTCTTTTTCATTTTGTGACAACGTTAAAACTGTCACCCCACCCCGAATGTGACTTTCTTATAATCAGTTGTTCTTTTAAGATTAGAGTTGAGGAATTTGAGAACTGTTTTTGGGAGGCCGGCGGGTTGAGGGGGTAGTGATGAGTTAGAAGAAAACTATGATTTCATCTTTATTGGCCTTAGTATAGAATAATACACGTTCCTTTTGTGTTTGTTACATGTGGTAAGATTATACCTTGAATTAAATACTTGAAGACTTATATGGAAGACTATTTTTAGGTGATTGAATGATGCTGCTGAACAGCTTTTCCTCTGAATTGGTGTTGCCTTGAGGATTTTGTCTTGAAAGCCTGCTTACTGATGATTGTTGAGCCAGCATCCTTTTTTTTTTTTCTTACCTGATAAATGAAGTGATGTAGTAATGTCTGTACTTGCTCTCTGCAGTGTGTAAGTGAAAAATGTGAATTATACACAGGGGTAAAACTTTCCATGAGCAGTCTTGGATATTTGCTTCATGATCACCTCTCCTGTAATCTCAGAGCCTTACTAGATATCTCAGTTCACTGACTACCCTAATTACTTTCTGAAGTATCTGGCACTTTTCCTTTTTAGTGACTCGTTGAGTAAACTCTAATGTCAGGTATGGTACATTTACTTGCTTTCCAAGATGAAAGTTAGAGCCTCGGCCCAGAAAGTAGCCGTTAACAATGAAAGCAGAATTCATACCATTGCTAGAGTTTTGGCTATGACAAACTCATAAACTATGTGAAAAACAAACATCTTTCCATAGTTGTCAGAATAAGAAGGAGAGCTATGTCTTTATTTTGAGAACTCTAGCATGATTATCTTATGTGGGGAAATGTCAAATTATATTCTTGAAGGCTTTTTGATGTGCAGCGGGTAATGTTTCCCCTCCTTCCAATTTAGGGACTGACATCTATGATTGGCTGGATTCCAGGATGCGAAGAGAAATGTTTTGGTAAAAGGAAAAGATAAGATTGCTTTGAACTATTATGATACTCTGATTATTCATTCCACACAGTGACAGCACAGAAAAACTTCCACGAAATGTTCGTACCCCATTAACATTCTGTCAGAATTCATTTTTAAGCATCTACCCTGAGGCCTATAAAGAAATAATGCCACTTCATAACTGTTTCCTGACAATCACATTAAAAATATGTTCCTGGAATGTATTATACGTGTACTCATATAAACATTTATCTTTGTACATTTATGGTAATGTAAATATTTAAGTCTGAGAGCTTAAAAACTTTTATTTGCTTATTTGCATACATGTTTTTCAACATCTAGCAGTGCCAACCATATTTGCCAAATAAGCATCAGCCATAAATTCAGGCTTTGGCACATTTCATATAATAACTCTTCTAAATTGCTCCATGGTGCAGCATCATGAGATTAGCATTTGTTTCATGAGAGAGATTTGTTGTTGTTGTTTAACTGTAATGATGCGATGTTTAACACGAACAGGTGCTGGGCTCTAGCTGTTTGTGTTGGAACCTGCCAAATCATGCTCTTTTGTTGAATGGGTTGTGTAAGTAATTTAGGAACCAAACTGTGGCCCCTAGCAACCTGAGTGTGAGTTCAAGGCTGTCTGTCACTGCTGTGAACCTTTGTTTTCCCTGTCCCAGGCAGGTATATGCCATGAGCTATATTTTCTTAGAGCAGATCTCTTGTCAGAGATCCCATCTTTTCCTTGTGAGAGTTGCTGAGAAAGCCTAGTCTCCTTCACTGCTTGTTTGTTTCCCTTGGAAAACTCTGGAGAACCAGAAATTCTAGGAATTTTCAGGCCAGGAATAGGCAGCTCACATTTATTTTACATATGTTTTGAGTTCCTTTTAATTTTTAGGCATGATGGTAGATATACAAAGAGTGATCTCTCCTTCTTCATGGAGCTTACAGTTTAATAGGGGGAAATATAGCTGATAAACCAATAATTACAGTATGATATAGTGTATTACAGGGTGCTCTAGTGCTGCCAACACAAAGGCTATGCCGTCAGATCCTTCGGAGAATAATGGACGGTCTCCCCTTGTTATAATTTATCTCCTTGAAAACTTGATGTAGGGTCACTCTGACTTGATGTCATTGAGTAAGTGATGGTGTATTGCTGAGGTATTACATGGGTTCTTATGGATGAAAAAGCAAAGGAGTGGTAGCAGATTCCAATTTGAGGTCTTAGAGCATGTGGACCTTGGGATGCAGTTTGGTGGGTTACCTGAGCTCATTTTGAATTATTTGTAGGAGGAACTAAGTTTGAAAGAGAGGGATTGATCTATTTGTTGTAGATCACTGCTGTCAAATAGAAACTCAAAGTGTGCCACATATATATTTTAAACACATAAAAAATGAAAAAAAGGAAATGAAATTAACATTAAATGAAATTTTGTTTAACCCAATATAATTAAAATAATGCCATTTAACTTGTAAATAATGTCATTTAATCTGGTGGTAATTATGTGCCATCGAGCAGATCCTGATCATAAAAAGCTATTGGATAGAATATTAGTGTCTTAGAGGGTTTCCTAGGGTGTAATCTGTTTATGTGCAGGAGCAGATCAATGGATCTTTTTTCCTTTGGAGCCACTAGTGGGTTCAAACTGCTGACCTGTGGGTTAGCAGTTAAATGATTAACTGTTGCACTACCAGGGCTTCTGTAATAAATATAAAATATGTTATTGACTCTGATGTCCCTTTGCTACTAAGTCTTTAAAATCTGGTAGGTATATTATAGTTATAGTACTTAGCATTTCCAACAAGTACAGCTCAATGGCCATTGATATTGACGTGTCAGTAGAAAAGAACTTGCTTTTAAGGACTCCAAGGATTTAGTGTGGATTGCAGGAGAGAGAAGTTAGTTGTGCTGTCTTAGAATCATATTTGTGTTTTAGACTTATTCTTTTGGCAGTGCAGTGGTTGCTGGCTTAGGGAAGGCCAAAAGCATTTAGGAAGCCATTCCTGGTGAGAAATGATGAAGAATGTGTGGGAGGAGGGTGAATGTACGAGGCATTTAGGAAGTTTTATTAACAGGACATGGTAAATAATCAGATTATAGAGTTGAGCAAGACCGAAGATCTGGGATAATTCCCACATTTCTGTTGACTACTAGATAGATGGCAGGCAGCCTAAAGAGAAGCTGGCCAACTGTGCCAGATAGACCAAAGCGGAAAAAAAAAGAAATGATGAGAGATTTGCGGTGGAAGCTGAGAGGAGAGAATATTTTAAGGACCAGGAATGTCTCATGCCCTGAGAAAGCCAAGCAAAATAGAAAAGGAATAAAGTCCTGGAAACTTGATTAAAATGTCAACTTGTGACTTTAGCTAGAGTAGTTAACCACAGTTG